CCCGAGGCCCACCGTGCCCGCAGCCGCCTGCCCTGGAAGGGCCGAGCCGGACAGGCCTTGAGAGACGCGTCCTGACTTCCGCCCTCTGCAGATGACCTGGCCGACGAGATGGAGGACGTGGACTTTGATGATGAGGGGGCAGAAGAGCCCGACGCCGAGGCTTGGGAGACGGAGGATGATGAGGGGGTGGAGGACGGCATGGAGGCGCAGGACGACAGCGAGGTCACGTTCTCCCTCCACTCGGGTGAGTGGTGGGCCTGGGCAGCGGCAGCTGGGGACCCCTTGGGACCTGCTCCCAACCTGGCTTTCCCCGGAGTAAGGGGGTGCAGCAGGTCCTGGCCAGGCTGTCGTTCCTGGGACAGCCGTCACAACGTGGGGCTGCCTTGGGCTGCGCTCGTTTCTACCTTACGCTCGGGTAGAGAAGTCCTTTGAGCCTCCTACCATGGCAGTTTGTCCTGAGCTTGGTAGACAGCCTGTGCTGCTTTTCCCCTGTGGGAGGAATAGATTCTCACATCTCACTCAGACCTGGTGCTGTGTGGGGTTTGGATCACCTGGGAACATCAGGTTGGGTGTGAGCGGCGTCCGAGCCACGTGGCCTTTCTTTACTTTTCTGTGAAGCTTCTGTTTTCTGTGTGAGCCTCGACCCCAAGACCAACACGCTGGCGGTGACGGGCGGGGAGGATGACAAGGCCTTCGTGTGGCGTGTGAGCGATGGAGAGCTCCTGTTTGAGTGCTCAGGTGAGGTGCTTGAGGCTGTCCGAGTGAGCGGCCATGTCCCCTCCCAGACACATCTCTCTGGACATGCTCTTCCCCAGCCGATGCTCTGCTGGAGTCGGGCTCCTGACCATCCTCCACAGCTTGGCCTGAGCAGTCTCTGTCCCCTGACGTCTCTAGGACACAAGGACTCAGTCACCTGTGCCGGCTTCAGTCACGACTCCGTGTTCGTGGCCACAGGTGACATGTCTGGGCTTATCAAAGTGTGGCGGGTGGACACCAAGGAGGAAGTGTGGTCCTTCGAGGTGGGGGACTTGGAGGTGAGCGGTGGGACCCCTGGTGCTGTGGGGAGCTCGTGGGCGAGCAGCTGGGACTCAGCTAGGTGGTGGTGGGGACACCACCCCCGTGACGCTGCCTGTCCCTCTCCCTGCCCAGTGGATGGAGTGGCACACTCAAGCCCACGTCCTTCTGGCGGGCACGGCTGATGGCAACTCCTGGATGTGGAAGATTCCCAGCGGAGACTGCAAAACCTTCCAGGGCCCTGCATGCCCAGCCACATGTGGCAGGATCCTGCCTGACGGTGAGACACGGGGGCTGTGTGGGGTGGGGGATGTCACCAGCTCTGTGACAGATCCTGCTGCCAGCACGTGCCCTCCTGCTTCTGCTAGTCTGTGCTGAGCGGGAGGTGGAGGGGTGAGGGGAGCTCTGGCACTGCCCACTGGCTCTGTCTCACCCAGGGAAGCGAGCGGTGGTGGGGTACGAAGACGGGACCATGCGCATCTGGGACCTGAAGCAGGGAACCTCGCTGCATGTCCTGAAAGGTAGAGAAGAGAGATTAATCACCCGGGATGCTCCTTAACTGGGGAACAGCCCCTTCCAGTAGGCTCTGGCCTCTGCCCGGGTGGAGAGGTGGCATCCTCTGAGGCCAGGCGCAGCCAGAGGGAGCCTAGTGCTGGGTTTCCCTGTCCCCACAGGTGGCTGCTCCTTGCCACCGGGCAAGGTGGAGGGTGGGTTTTGAGGCCCAGCGGGTCTCTGTGGGAAGGACACATGGAGCTCATGCTTCTGCTTGCCACCCAGGCCAGGACGGCCACCAGGACCCCTTGACATGTGTAGCCAGCAACCAGGATGGCAGTTTGATCATGACGGGCTCTGTGGACTGTCACGCCAAGCTGGTCAACTCCGCCACAGGCAAGGTGGGTCCATGCTGGCGGGGGCAGAGCCAGAAGCCGTGGGATACGAAGGAACGGCCTCCCAAGCCCCTGTCCTGGACCAGGCAGGTGTCCCCGGGCGGTTCAGGACTCTACCGGCCCCGAGGAGCCTGCGGTGGCCACCGGCAGCCAGCAGGAGGCGGCCTTGGCCAACACAACTGCTTTCTCCCAGCTGCTGGTGGGACCTGCAGTTGGGTCGTACCGCTGGGCTCGTAGAAGGAAGTTCCCCCTGCCCCTTACTTGCTCCGAAGAGCTGAGGTTTTGGGGTTGGGCCTTGGTGTCCAGGGGGTGTAGGCTCAATCCCGGGTAAGGAAGGGGGACTTCGGTGTGACTGGGGGGCCCCCTTTCCCTCCCCTTGGGGACTAGTCTGCCTCCCTCCCCCCCAGGTGGTGTGTGTGTTCAAGATGGAGAGCATGGCCCCCAAGGCCCCGGCCGGTGAGGGTGAGGAGGCAGAGTCCAACTCGGTGGAGTCGCTGGGCTTCTGTAACGTGTGAGTGTGGGGACAGCCCCTCTTCAGCCCTAGATCTTACAGGGGTTACAAACAGATCCCTTTCCATCCCTCATGCTTGTTCTGCTGCATTTCTGTCACCTCCATCCTCCCCAGCTGGTCGTGGAGATCCCAGGTCACTTGGGTGTGACATGGAGGATGAGGGATACCAGTCCTCCCCCCCAATCTGTTGGGCTTCTGGGCTAGCCTGATGGACCGCTGTTTGCCCTCTAGACATGGCTACTGGGGATCTTTCCTCCCAGTACATTGTCTTCTCCCTTGTGAACCTCAGGCTCGTGCTGACTCTCGCTGTCCTGTTGAGTTTCCAGATCGGGGTGTTTCATGGCTCCAGCCATCGGCTTGTCCCTCATCTTCTCGCTATGCTGTAGCCCTCAGCACAGGGTTTGCCTTCAACCTTGATCCTTTGGGCACTTCCATCCCTGCTCCCCCCAGGCCCACATAATGCCTGTTTCCCCCTTTGCAGGATGCCACTGGCTGCTGTGGGCTACCTGGACGGCACACTGGCTATCTACGACCTCTCCACACAGAGTTTGAGGCATAAGTGCCAACACGAGGTACTGCCCTACCCCCTCTCCCTAGGCCCGGGGCAGAGGGGGTGTCTTTGGGCTGAGACCTCCCTTGGAGCGCAGGGGCTTTCCTGGGGCCAGTTCCCAATTGTGCTTCTCCCTCAGCCCCCTGGGCTTCCCCAAAGGCAGCCGCAGTCCCTGCACAGAGGATGTGCCCCATAGAGGCTGGCTTTCCTCTCTGTGGGGATG